AAGCGGTTGAACATGAAAAATTGCTAGAAAAATGAATAGGAGGAGGCGATGGACGAGGAGTAGACTCCACTGTGTTGAAACCTGTAAAAATCATGACGTGGCAACACTTACGAGCCAATGGCATAATTTGTATAGAAGGAATCAAACAATATGTCCACTACATATTATTACCTACCTTGTAATAGAAGAATCTCCTTTTTCTTTCTCCCACTAAAATTATTCGTTCAGGGGGGATTTGCCCTTTAAAGTCTCTCCTAGGAACATATATTATCATGCTGGTTATTTTGTAAAATATTTTTTATTTAAAAATATATTAAAATATTTTTTATAAAAATATATATTTTTTTATATTAACATATCAAAATAAATTTAAAAAAATTCAATATTTTTAAAAACACACGGCTGCGCGTTCCCGGACAATAGCCATGAAGACCCAATCACAGCATTTTCTAGAGAAACCCCCCAAGCTTTGAAAATCTATTAGTCTCCATTCTCAATTCTCATTCAAAAAAATGTTTGATTTTTTTTTTTAATTCAAACTCCTATTTTTTATTCATTGATGTTAAGGACTTGACCTAAAACATAAAAAGAATTTAAGATTCCAACGCTATATTTTTATGCTTAATATTTAAATTTTATTATTTATTAAATATATAATCTTTTTCTGAAACTCTCGATCTAATATAGTATAATATAGTATAGTTGGTTCCAGATTATATAAAAACAAATAATGGTCTGATAATATTTTTTTATTAATAAAAAATCCAAACTAATACTATGAGATTAAATAGTGAGTAAATTAACATCTCCAATTTTTACTTAGCAACTAACGGCTTCAAACCGCATTTACTTTTATATATATTCTTGTATTTTCAAAAGTAAAAGAATGAAAGTGTACTTTATATTAATTTCTAAGGACTAACTTAGACTTTACCATCCTAGTGGGACCCTAACTCTCACACAAATCCACATGCCATGTGTCATCATCAACTATATAAAGTATAAACCCAACCGAAAACTATCTCCTCCCAACATTCCTCTCTCTCGCAAGTTCTACTCCCAACCTCGACCCCTCCTCTCTCATGGCGACCCAAAACGAACCCGACTCCGGACCCGATAACCACACCACAACCACCACCATAACCAACAACCCAACCCAAGTAGCAACCCCTCCAATCTATCACCTGTCCTTTAACCAAAACCACAGCTGCTTCTCAGTTGGACTCCAAAACGGGTTCCGGGTCTTTGACACGGACCCATTCAAACCCTCGTTCCGCCGTGAATTAGACACACACGGTGGCATCGGATTGGTCGCCATGCTTTACCGCTGCAACCTCTTCTGCCTAGTTGGTGGCGGACCCGACCCGATTTACCCCAGAAACAAAGTGATGATTTGGGACGACCATGTTTCTCGGTGTATAGGAGAATTATCATTCAGGTCAGAGGTCAGAAACGTAAAACTTCGCCGCGATATGATCGTAGTTGTATTGAACCAAAAGATATTTGTTTACAATTTCTTGGACTTGAAGTTATTGCTTCAAATAGAGACGGATTTGAACCCTAATGGGTTGTGTGAGATTTCGCAGAATTCTTCGCCAATGGTTTTGGTTAGTCTAGGGTTGCAGAAGGGTCAAATTAGGGTGGAGAATTTTGGGTCGAAGAAGAGTAAGTTTGTTATGGCTCATGATTCAAGAGTTGTTTGCATGAGTTTAACTCAAGATGGGGGGAGGTTAGCGACCGCGAGCTCTAAAGGGACTTTGATTAGAGTATTTAATACTTTGGATGGGACTTTGTTACAAGAGGTATGGTAATTAGTAAGCTGATTAGTGTGATCCTAGTTTTTTTATCCTGTAAATCTTAATGTGTGGTGATTCTGGTGTTTTTGGAGCCTGTAATGATCCTAATTGGTGTTAAAACTTTGTTGAGTTAAGTTAACGTGACTGGAAGTAGGAAAGGATTTTGACTTTCTGTGTGCGGGCATGTGTCTAGGATTTTGACTTTTTGTGTGCGGGCATGCGTCTCTTTAGCAAGGTGATTTTCTCAGTTTTTTTGTTAATGGATATGTTATAGCCAAATCGATCGTGTTGGACAAGTGAGTGTCTGTTCATACAAGCACTCCTGTCGATTGAAAGATTTAGCTCTTCTCTTTTATAAGGAAAGGCGCCGTCTTGTGTAAATTGAAGGATTTTGAAGAGATTGATAACAGGGTTTTTAAGCAAAGAGCATAATAGCATCTTGGGGTCTAAAGAAAAAAGACAAAAGGATCTTTAAGTTTAACTGCTTTATGACATCAAATTTCAAATTTGTTTCTTTTTGGATGCATAATGAAAATTTTGTGTGCAATTTTCAATTTTCCTTGGTTAAGCATGTTTTTGTGTAGCTAGAAACACTTAATTTCCTGTCTGTGGTTTGTTGATGCTATTTGCTGATGTTGAATGTTTTCTCGTGTCCCATGCTAGGTTAGGAGAGGTGCAGATAGAGCAGATATCTACAGCCTTGCATTCTCATCCAATGCTCAGTTCCTAGCTGTCTCAAGTGACAAGGGAACTGTACATATCTTTAGTCTCAAGGTTGATTCAGGGTCCATGGCCTCACTGACAAACGACAGGTCTCACATTGCATCTGAACCAATTCATTCTAGACTTTCATCTCTTTGCGTATTCAAAGGTAATTTCCCTACTCATTGTCACTTTGTCTTTGAACGATAAATACTACTATGCTAGTTTGTTGCCTCAATGAAATCTCGAGGAGTTAGTGTTAGCAGTTATTGGAGGCTATAAGATCCGGTAAATTTTAATATTTAGTAGCTGAGCATGTTTAAAATAAGTTTATAATCTTGCATAGGTTAAGATATGACTTCGAAGGTCTAACTCTAGTTCATTAGCTTGCATAGGTCAGAGAACTGATTGTCATTGGTTAGTGTACAAGCCTGCTAGATAATGCCGCTTTAGGAGTTAACTGTTTTAAAGTGAAGCTTATCTTGAGTTTCTCTCATTATTGCAGTTGTATTGCCAAAGTATTTCAGCTCAGAGTGGTCAGTAGCCCAGTTTCGATTACCTGAAGGTTTGCAGTACTTTGTTGGGTTTGGCCAGCAGAAGAACACTATTGTCATCATTGGCATGGATGGAAGGTAATGAAAACTCAGATCATGCTGGTTGTTTTTTACTTGTCATTTTGTTAAGTTATGGGTTGAGGCCATTGAATCAAATCCCTAATGCATGATGAGTTAGCCCCTGGCATGTTTTCTTCCCAGCACTTGCATGATTCCCTGGGCCACCAAGGTGTGCTAGTAGGCTATTCCTAAGGCCGATAGAGAAACTGTCTTTGGAAAAATCACAAAAATCATAAGACTGCAGTTATGTTCATTCTCATTATGCTTAGTTCTTATGTCTTGTTTAGTGGCTCCTTGGCTTCCATGGGAATATGCTTTAGATTTGTCTGATCCCTGCTTCTAGTAAAAACCTTATTGTTTTTTGCTACGCTGAGCAGTACATGAAGAATCTCTTTGAAGCAGAAGTGTTGCTGATATCATTGTCATTCCATATGGCATAACTAGTTGAGCTGTTTTTTCTCGGTGTTGGGTTTGGATTCCCCTCAAACTTGGACTCTGCAAATTAGTTGATGAATTCAGGAGTTCGTGATAAATTGTCCTTGGCAATCATATAAACCACTTACCATATGCCCATTATTGCTTGTATGTTGATCATGTTTTGATCATGATTATATTATTGAAGTTCATGGATGGATCATTTTGGAATACATGGCACACCGAGTTTTTTTTTCCTAATGATCATGAAGAATCTTAATGGATTTGTTTATTGGATGGTTTTGCAGCTTCTATAGATGTGAGTTTGATCCAGTGGTTGGTGGGGAGATGATCCAGCTTGAATATCACAATTTCCTAAATGCGGATAATTTCTGATACTTCTCCGAATCCAATGTAAATAGATTATTTTCAGTTTTGTGTGGTAGATATTGTTAATATTATTACTTGCTCAGGAGACTGGAATTAGTTCTACTTCTACATATTAACACGAGTACTGAATTTCAGCCAGTTGTTCATCCCATTGCATTGCATTCGGCTGTTTGTAAAAAGAGTTTTGTCTGGTGCATATGCTGTTTGTTAATACTGGTACCCTGTACATTCATGTTAACAATAACCTTGACCGTGAACATGAACATGATGAAAAAGGACATGAACATTTCTTGAGTGTTCAATTGGCAAATCAATGAAGGTTAGAATGGTTTTGTACTTTGATGTTGGGTTTCTCGGCCACTGGAAAGTTCGGTGATGACTCGAGTAGCAATTGTTGCTTCTGGTGATTGTAAATGGTTACACTCTTCTTGAACCACTCGTTGGGCTTGGGGATCTCTGCGTTATCTTCCTATGGAATGTTCCCATCTTGGTTATTAAGAAAACAATACATGATAGAAACAACTACACTGTAACCTTAGAGACGAGTCCTTCATCAATCCTCCAATGATGTCATAAACTGAACCTTTTTTACGGTAGACGCATCGAAGAACAACATCCATAGTCAAAGTCCGAAGAATACATCTCTGATCTTTTCAAATGCAAGCGAGTTTTCGATGGCTTAAAATGGATTCAGAGGCTCTATTTCTTCTTTGTTTGGAAATATGAGCTCCATACGCTATTTGGATTTAGCCTACAATTGTTTGGAGCAATACCAGGACAGTCAATTGACCTCATCGTTACTGTTTCTTAAGCTGTCAACTGATGAGAGAACTTTTCTTCCCTAATTGTTCTTTCATTTAAATACATCAATAAAGCAAAATTCTTATCAATGGGTTTGCCAGAAGTAGATGATCAGTGATTTGATGCCAAACATGAGCACTGGGAAATCATTGTAGACTATGAAGTTGTGCACTGTACAGTCAGACAAAATAGAAACTCCTCCACTTTCAAAGGTGCTATTCTTAATTTTTCATGTCTGATATGGTCCTATCTTGCAACAGATTCATAGGTGCAACACCCCAGAAAATGGAAACTTAATTTAATTGGATTAAATACCGTGACATCCAAAACAAGGTTTTCTATTCTATATTTCTATTTCACAAACTGCAAGTTCATATTTAGAAGATTTTTGTAAAGAAAAAGATGAATTTAAACACTCGTTTAATTTCAGAAAGGGTGTCTATTACATCAAGATGTTGCCGATGTTGCCGAAGCACAGATTGATTCTCAGGTATGCTCATTTCGTATTTGAGATTCAATATGAAGAGAAGATATCTTCACCAAAAAAAATTAATGTCTTTCACATATCTGGATTTGCCTCCTCTGGAATCACAGTCAAATTCACCACAACATCATTTGGTCTTTTCAGAACTACCTCCAAGGGTTTGCCAACTCTGTCTCCCATAATTTCAATGATCTGCCATGCATTAATGAATTATATGGAACATTAGCACATGGAAGTATAACAAAACATCAATTGTAATGGAACTTCGATTTTTCAAGATTTATTTCTACAAGTAAATACAGGAACCAGTCACTGATGACCAGCATCATTTTTACAAATCATTGGGTACTCAAAGTGGCAGCCCTTAAGTATTTTTCTGTGTAATGTTTCATGGCTGCAAATATGCACCTGACAAACCTCCTTCATAGAACCCGCCCCAAAAGAAAGAGAGAGTCAAACATACCTCCTTGATGCTTCGAACAGGCTTCCCATCAAATTTGATGACAACATCACCAGGGTGGAATCCAGCACGATCAGCTGGAGAGCCTGGAGTTACCTGGAGAAAAAACTTAGAAAACCATCAAACATGGAAAAGGGAAAAGGGAAACTAACGGAAAAGGCTAACACCTTATATTTACACCAAGATTATTACTTGTGTGTCACATGTGCCTATTACCAAGGGGCATTTATTTTACGATAGCTTGTTTCTAAATTTATCTATGACAAATATTCTTCAAAAGTTAGAATGGTTTCTAAAAAAAAATATGTTAGATGCAAAATTTCCAAATAACAAAACCTCTCTGAGATATTCTTTCTGATAATAGCCACATTTCCTATCTCGATATCTTCTTTTATAACCATTCCATTCAAGAGGGAAATAAAAGCATTTCATTATAAAGTTAATATCCAGGATTAAATTTGTAGACAATATGCATCAACTACAATTGCAAATACACAATTTTACATGCAAGCATCTCACAAGACATGAAAGAAAAATGTCAATAACATGCAAATTATATGATATTACGAATGCGAAAGGAAAGTAGAATGAGCATTTAGGTTACTTACCATAGGTACAAGAACACCTTCTTTAACATTAGGGAATTTGGGATCTCTCTCTTTAAGTTGAGTAATGATCATCTCATTAAGATCAATCATTTTCAAGCCAAGCCAAGGCCGAATGACTCTCCTGCAAAATATAACCTCCTATTTAAATTGCACGCACATGGATAATTAGCAAAGGTCATTGTGATCTTTATTGTTCTTCTTTGACCTCAAATAGGCGTTGTTAATTAATTTGTTTTTCACTGTCATGGTACTCGAAATATTTGTCTTGCCTAAATTGAGTTTTATGTATCCCTTCTGTTACCCTCCAAAAATTGCAAATTAAACTTCCTTTTAACAATAAAGCATATCAATCTTAACAAACAGAAACTAAACCTTCATAAGCTTACTCTCTCGGTTCATTCTAGAATGGAATGGAAGAAAAATGGTAGAGTAGGCTACAATCACATCTACTTCTATGTACTGATTGCCAAAAAAAAAAGATTGCTTACCCACTCCTTTTGAAATGCTCCATAATTTTGGCAATTGAATCAATTGGTACAGCAAAACTTAATCCATCTGCAGCCAGTACTTTCATGATATTAACACCAACAACTTCTCCATCAACATTAATGAGCGGCCCACCAGAATTTCCCTATGCCATTAAAGTAGAAAACATAAACTTAAATATAGCCACAGGCAAAACACACATGCAATAGCAGATGAATGAACAAAACATGTTTGTGCTACTTGAGCATGAGCATGTTTACCCCTTCATAAATGAAGGCGTTATCAGCAGTATAGGAGTGGTCAAAAAACTATGTTTCTGGGGTGAGTTGCAGAGAAAGAGTTACCATATTGATTGCACAATCTGTCTGTAAATACTCTCTTCGCATTCCTCCAAGACCCAAGTCACTGCTTTTACGATCAACACAGCTACATCCCAAGGGGATAGTCATTTAAACACCAATAAGAATTCAATAATCAAACAGGAACTATATTCTACTAGTGTGATGATAAATTATAACTGAAAGAACATACACAAAATCAATAATGAAACAAGTTTCTATTTTTATGGCAGCCAAAAATAAAAGGTTTCTCTGTTAATCTTAAGTATTCTTGATACCTAACAATGCCAGCTGTCACGGTATTTTGAAGGGAAAGTGGACAGCCCATAGCTACCACCCAGTCCCCTGGGCGAAGCTTGCTTGACGAACCAAGTTTTGCAGTTGGCAGTGGGGTTTTAGACTTTATCTTTACAATAGCAATATCAGAATGTAAATCAGCATTGACCACTGTACCCTCAAACGTCCGACCATCTTGCAAAGTCACATCAACCTGCAAAGGTTCATTACACATCAGATCATCAGGAGTTAAAGATTCAATAGATAAGAGGGAATTGATATGCTAAAGTATAAACAGACTTGCATTTGTGAACATCATAACCACTAATTGAAGAGGGAAATAAATTTCTACAGCATAAGCAGGTAATTATGAGCATGGTAACAACAATAAGAAAAAAACTCAGAACTTTGTTTTCCTAGATATGATAATTCTGCATCAACCAAATTAATCAATACGAGACATTCACTACTGAAGGCATTCATTATAGCATGCCATTATCAAAGAGCAAAGAATTAATCACATTCGACTTAACACCTGAGTTAAAGAACATGCAAAGCCTAAAGATGACAAAAGCTTCGTTTGCAAATTAAGCTCGGTTAAACCGAAGAACAGCACATGCTTCATAAATACTGAGCCTAGCTTTCAAAATTTGTCCTCTGGAAAATTAGCAGAAAAAAAATTAAACAATTGATCATGAGCACACAATTATGTAAATTCACACCACATGACACACTATTAACTCATTTTTCAATGCCTTCATTATTCCAGTACATGTCATCCCATTGAAAGAGACACTTTTAGGGTGGGCAAGGAAAGTTTTTGCACAAGGTTAATTTTACTTGAAACAAAAATGAAATTAGTATACAAACAAATTACTATAAGCTTAATATTTAAGTCCACTTATGCCTCCATAATCACTAACCTTTCCTTTGGATGAAGCTCTCATGTCTTGAAAATCGACCACAACATGAGCACAAGTCAAGATCGTACCATTCGAATCAATGATAGTGCCAGACCCTATACTCTTTCCGGTAGTAATCCCATAGAATCCTACAAAACAAAAGGGCAAACTTCACCAGTACCTTCCTATCAATACATCAAGTCCCTCTATCCCCAAAAAAGGGCTCGTGCTCAACTCCTTAATTGTTTATCAGTTAATACAAAATAGTATTTTATGGCCAGACAAAGCGTTGAGGGTAGTTCTAACCAAGCCAAACACACCTACCCTTTGGAACAGATAGATTGACAACAGCAGGACCAACCCTAGCAGCCGCATTTGCTATGGTATCTCTGCCTAAACATCCACAACTGGGTTTTGGACTCTCTCCAACAACCCCTGGACTTTCATTCTTTATATCACCAGATGGAACAGGACTGATTCTAGAAGAAAATAACGGGAGATTTCCTACAAAATCAAGCTTAAATCAATAACCCCAGGACGTAAAATAACAATCATTAAACAAACCAAATAATTCAGAAATGGGCAATAAAAAAGAGTGCTACAAACCAAAGTGCCAACTATGCGGGGTCAAGTCCAGTGGTGTTCGCCATGGAAGCAACAAAGATTCATGCAAAGATTCAGCACGAAATGAAAGTGATATCCTTGTATCTGAAAAGTTGCAAACATGTCATCAACAATTCCTTAACGTGCCAAATAAAAAAGGGTGTCTTCCAAAAACGGAAATCTCACCGGAATCACGGTGCTTGCTGTTTGCATACAAGAGACCAGACCCACCAGCAGCAGCAGCAATGGCAATGACTGGAATGCGAATGTATTTACTAGAACATGTTGAAACCTTTCTCTGCCCAGCAGGAAACAACAAATTTTAACTAAAAAATGCGATAAAAAGTGATTTAAAAGAAAACAACAGCCGGAGACGGTAGTGTCATTACCAGTAAATAATCCATCATAGACTCACAAGTCAGATTGAATTTTTTGGGTCTCTTAAATTCCAAAAACCCTTCTTGTTAGTCAACATTTTACAACTTTCTGGGGCTTTCCTTTGAGTCCTGTACATATTACTTTGCTGGGCTTACAACATATCTAATTGAGTGATATAGACCAACTAGCCAGAACACGAAGCCCGTCTCCCCCTTTTTTCACGATCTAGGCCCAACTGATCAGCTCAATCGACCATCCATGAGCCAATACACAAAGGTCACCATCTCAGTTTTTTTATGGATCTTATCCGTGATTTGCATTTGCAATTATTCATTAAAATCAAACAACGTTGCATTGCCAAATTCAGTTTCATAATATCAAATAGAACAAGCCTATTTGAAAAATTATAGTTGTTAAATTCTACAGTTGTCCAAATCAACCCAAACTCTTTTCCCATATTAGATATGATAAAAATATGATTTAAAGGGATTCTCATGAGCAGAACTTTGAATCTCAAACTCAAATCCCATTTGGAGAAATCAAAGCCTCGATGAATTGACCAGTCTTTTTACACAAATTTAGCAGAAAGGTAACAAAACAAGCAGCAGATTGCTTTCCATTATGGATTGATCAACATGAGAGAGCTACAACCATTTTTTTTGTGCAAAACATAAGACAGCTATTTCCTTAAAATCTAAACTGCGTATCTAAATTCCTACTACATTGGATGATACCTCCTAGACATTTTTTTTACAACAAAATAAAAACAAAGAGCCAATGGCTTAGGCCTTTTTAGGAGATTTGGGCTCAGATCCAGAAGATTTCTCACTGCTTGCACTTTTCTTAGGTAAAAGAACTGGGTTGATGTTAGGCAACACTCCTCCGCTTGCGATTGTAACGCCCTGCAGCAATTTTCCCAGTTCCTCATCGTTTCTTACAGCCAACAAGACGTGTCTTGGGTTTATTCTGTTTTTCTTGTTGTCTCTTGCTGCGTTTCCGGCCAATTCCAGCACCTTAAAACACACAGATATAAATCAAATCAAATCAGGGTCTAAATAAAAAACAATAGGAAATAAAACCGAAACTAAACAAAAAATCCTAACCCCAGATTAATCGGGGGGGAAATAAGGGGTTGTTTTGTGGATCAAAATTAACTAATTAATAAAAAAAAAATAGGAGATTAAATTTTAAAAAACAAATCCCGACAAAAAACCATATACAAAATTTAACATTTTAACGTTGTAAATTATTTTAACGTTGTAAATTATAAGACATTTTTCTTTCAAAAAAAAAAAGAACGAAAAGAAAAGAAACAAAATGTAAAAGACAACAACTCTTATACCTCAGCAGCGAGATATTCAAGAACAGCGGCCATGTAAATAGGAGCACCAGAACCAACACGTTGAGCATAACGACCTTTCTTCAAGAACCTAGCGATACGACCCACAGGGAACTGAAGACCAGCTTTAGTTGACTTCGAAACTGCCTTCTTTCGTTCTCCTCCTCTCCTTCCTCCTGCACCTTTCGTTGCCTTTGTTGCCTCCATTGTTACACAGATTCAATAACCAAAAGATCTTAAGATTTGTTGAAGGTGACAGCGTTTTTTTTAGAGGGAAATGAAAATTGAGAGAGAGCAGGATTTGACAGGCCGGGTGCGGTGGTTCCGGTTTTTTATAGCAGTGGGTGACACATTGGCGATCCGTGTGCGATTTGTTTTTGTATTTGAATGGAGGGCGGGATTTATGACAGATTGGCGATCCTAAGTTTTTGAAATTGGCCAATGAGAGAGGGGAGTTTGTTTTGTGGAGAAAAAATCGATACTTTACCAGCGTTACTCTTCGGGCTTTTCTTAAGAAAAAAATAATTAAGATATTTTTTAAAACAAATCATTTATAAAAGAGTTTCCTGCAAATGCTCCATTATTATAAAAACTTTATCTATTATTTGAAATTGGTCAATGAGAAAGGGGAGTTTGTTTCTAAATCTTTTAATTTGTAGTATTTAAGTGGATGTATATTTTTTTATTTTTTTAGTTTAATATGTCTGAACTAATTTGTATGTATCTCAACTAATTTTACAGATCTTGAAGTTAACAATTATGTAAATTTCTAGTGATCATCGTATAAATAACCACGAGACTCGAATTTGAAATCATAAAAAATTCAAATTTTTTAATTCTAAATTTTTACTAGACTATCATTTAAATGAATATAATTAAGTGGATGTATATTAGTTGAATGTTATTGTATATGTTAATGACATAGACACCAGCACAGGATAATAACAAGGGCCAGCATTATCCAAAAGATGTCATGTTATAGGGAGAAAATATTCCCTTTGAAAATTCCAAAACCAAATTAAAATTTAGATAATAATAATAATAATTTAGTTTATTTTGATAAGTAAAAAAAATAAAGTTTGCAAAGATATCAACAACGTGTGTAGATTATTCTATTTTTTTAATAATAATATTTTTAAATTTTTTAAATAAGTTTTATTCCCTTTAAATAAATTTTAATTTTTTCACCCGTTTACTTATTCTTAGTTAGTGAACCTTCATACCAACAATGATTGATTTAAATTATTTGACACTTATTTTCCTTAAACAAAATTTTAAGTTTGAGTTTTATAAATGGAACATACCATTATTAACAAAGCTTTATCTCTTAATTAGTGAGCCAAATTAGTTTTATTGGATTAACTAGTTGTTTGGTATTGTAGCTGCAGATGAGATTCAACTAGAATCACAATTTTTATTATTTTGTTATACTCCTACCACAGTTTTTCAATGATGGATCCCATTATTAAATATGGTATAGCTGCAGGTTACAAGAAGTAGCAAAAAGCTGCTTCTTGTAATGAGAAAATGAATGAACAGTAGAGCATGCTCTATTATTTATGTTTAAAAATTAACGCAATACAATATATTTGTTGCTGAGGGCTTGAACCAACACATGGAAGTCCGAAATACTAGGTATTTTTTTTTAATTATTATGAGCAAGGTTTATTTGTATTTATTACTTATATCATTATTTTATAAAATAATTATATCCAAAAAATAGAAATAATTCTACATCATAAATTAATAACAAATCTTTATCACCTGTGTCATATTTAGCATAAACAGTAATATATAATATAAACATGATTTTATTTATAATGCCATGTAAACATGATTTTTTATTAAAAAAATAAATGCAAAAGTTACATAACTTGTTATTATAGTTATAACCCAACATTAAAGTTTGATGAATTAACTCAAATTAATTTAAAATATAAAGTTTTGATTTAATTTTTTAAAAATTAAATTAAGTTTTATTCTGATTTTAATTGATTCATAAATTAAACTGTTTAATTGATTAATTTTAATTAGATTAATTTTCATCTAGTTAGATATAAAACTCAAGTCGGCTAGGTTTATCAAAGCTAAAAATGTCTTGAACCGGGTCCGACCCTATAAAATAAAAAAATATTTTTTATTTTTAATAATGTTTTATTCTAAAAACTAGTATTAAATATTATTCAATGACTACATAAATTAGACGGAGATCGCTTAATAACGCCGCATTTACAGAATTTGATCGCAATCTCAATTTTATTCTTGATTATATTTTACCTGATATTATTGCGCTTTTAAGAAATTTATGAAAACTGTAGTCCTTATCGGATATATTTCATACGTATTGAAATTGTAGATAGTTTAATGAAAGAATAAAAAATATTTTATATAAAGTATTATTTATTTCATAATATAATAGCAATAGTTAAATCTACAATATTTAAATTAAAAACCATCAATATGAATATATATTTTTTAAAATTATTTTATAACATCAATTTCAAAAGCATTCTTAACCAAACACATTAAACTATTTTTTGTTCAACCTCAATTTCAACTACAGTTTTAACCAAACACCTATTTTTTCAAACCAATCTCAACTAAAATACTTTTTATAAAATAATTTATTTTTAAATCACAACCACAACAGTTACCGTAATACCAAACACGCTCTAATTGAGGTATAATAGGTTTTCAAATACCACATATCGTGATTAAGGAAAAAAAAAAGAAGGTAATGGACCTGGTTTTGATAGATTCTGGTTGGAAGAAAAATTGTTTGATAATGGTGCTTTGCATGAGAAAAATCAAGAAAAAGATGCCCCTAGACATTTTTACCTTTCCGATAAAAAAAAATGACTATTGATTTTAATTTTAATTTATCAATTATCAAGAAATTTTTGCAGATAAGACTTTTTTTTTCCAAATAAAAGAGTAAACTTATTCAGACTTCAGAGGTGAAAGGATTCGGTTTTAAATTTTAATTACCTATTTGTCTCCAATTTCCTAAAATGATAACTTCGTCTTAAAGTTTCATGAAATTTTGTTAAAATTTCCTTTTAGTCCTGTGACTACATTTTAGGGAAAATTAGGAACAAATAACTAGACATCAATTTACCCGGATCAATTCACAATTCACAAGTTTCAATTTTTTTTTCTCTTTGTGCAATCAAAATCAGGATCAAATAATTAACAAATATAAAACAACAATCACAAAAATCAACACCAAGATTTTTATGTAAAAAACCCAATACTGGAAAAACCACGGGACTGTAATCCACTTAAAAACTTTCACTATCAACAAATTATGGGTTCATAATTGTTCTTTCTTAAATTTAACTAAGGGTTACAATATAAATAACATCAAGAACAACTTATTTTTGAAATACAACAAGATTAAAGAAGAAATATTTGAAAAAAACTCACAATACTGATAACTTTTTTTCTATCAAAACTGTTAGTTTTCACATCACCAATCTTCAATCGAATCGTTCAGATGAAGAATAATGTATCTAGAAGTTGCTGTCAAAATCTTAACCTGATCCAACGGTGAACAAGTTGAGAATCGAAGAATGAAGATAGAGAGTACAACTACCTCTTCTTCATTTCTTTTTATTTTCTCTCTTCTATTTTTTTTTGTTTCAAATCTATTATGAATAGTGAGCATTGCGTTTTTAATTTCAGAAGACAGTTGCTACTGTCTCATGATAATTAATATGGTGGTTTCACTATCACATGGTGTAAAACCACACACAACATACATAAAAAAAAGGACACTAATTGAAACAAACTAGGAGTTCAATTGAATAATAAATTTGTTCATCGATTAAATATTCCATATTTTTAAAAGTTCTCATGAGTTTTTAAGATTTTTTGTGAGATTTTATAGCATATTCGGTCATATATTTGAGAGAGAAAATAAGAATAAAAATATGAAAAATTTCAGTTTTTTGTTACTTATTTAGTAATGCAGCGAAAAATCAGAACTTTTTAAAATCTATAGAAATACCAAATTAAAATTTAGATAATAATAATAATAATAATTTAGTTTATTCTGATAAGAGAAAAAAAAAAAAAGTCTGCAAAGATATCAACAACGTGTGTAGATTATTCTATTTTCTTATTTAATAATAATATTTTTAAATTTTTTAGATAGGTTTTATTCCCTTTAAAATAAATTTTAATTTTTTCACCCGTTTACTTATTCTTAGTTAGTGAACCTTCATACCAACAATGATTGATTTAAATTATTTGACACTTATTTTCCTTAAACAAAATCTTAAGTTCGAGTTTTATAAATGGAACATACCATTATTAACAAAGCTTTATCTCTTAATTAGTGGGCCGAACGTAGTTCTACTGGATTAATTGAGGTATAGTAGGTTTTCAGATACAACATATCGTGATTAGGGGAAAAAAAGAAGGTAGTGGACCTGGTTTTAATAGAGATTCTGGTTGGAAGAAAAATTGTCTGATAGTGTTGCTTTGCATGAGAAAAATCAAGAAAAAGATGCTCCTAAACATTATTACCTTTCCGGAAAAAAAAAATGACTACTGATTTTAATTTTAATTTATTAATTATCATGAAATTTTTGCAGATAGGACTTTCTTTTTCCCAGTAAAAGAGTCAATCTATTCGGACTCTAGAGGTGAGAGGATTCAGTTTTAAATTTTAATTATCTATTTGTCTCCAATTTCATAAAATGATAACTTCATCTTAAAATTTCATGAAATTTTGTTAAAATACCCTTTTAGTCTTGGGACTACATTGTAGGGAAACTAAGAATAATAATTGGACATCAATCTACTCGAATTAATTCATAATTTCATAAGTTTTAATTTTTTTTTCTCTTTGTGTAATCACAATCAAGATCAAACAATCAATAAATATAAAGTAATAATAACATAAATCAACACCAAGATTTTTACGTGGAAAACCCGATGCGAGGAAAATCACGGAATTGTAATCCACTAACTTTCACTATCAACAAATTATGAGTTCACAATTGTTCTTTCTTAAATTCAACTAAAAGCTACAATATAAATAATATCAAGAATAACTTATTCTTGGAATACAACAAGATTAAAGAAGAAGTATTTGAAAAAAACTCACAATACTGATAGCTCATTTTCTATCAAAACGTCTAATTTTCACATCACCAATCTTCAATCGAATCATTCAAATGAAGAGTAATGTGTTTAGAAGTTGTTGTCAAAATCTTAGCCCGATCCAACGATAAACATGTTAGGAATCGGAGAATGAAGATAGAGAATACAACGACCTCTTCTTCCTCCTTTTTTATCTTTTCTCTTCTATTTTTTTTCTTTCAAATCTGTTATGAATAGTGAGCATTACGTTTTTAATTTCAAAAGATAATTATGTTGTTATCTTTTGATAATTAATGTGGTGATCTCACTATTACATGACACTATATATATAAAAAAAGGATATTAATTGAAACAAACTAGGGGTTCAATTAAATAATAAATTTATTCATTGATTAAATATTTCATTTTTTAAAAAGTTCTCATGAGTTTTTAAGATTTTTTATGAGATTTTATAGCATATACTGTCACAAGAGAGAAAATGACAGAAGAATAAGAATAAATAAAATAAAAATATAAAAAATTTCAGGTTTTTGTTACTTATTTAGTAATGCAGCGAAAAATCAGAACTTTTTAAAATCTATAGGGATAATATTGGATAATTATAAACTATAGAGGCGAGTGAAATATTGATAACTACATGAAGGGGAAAAAAAATAGTTTACATGATAAGAAAATGAAGGCATCACAATTTGTAGTTACAAGGCTAAGACGTGCCTTTGTATTCCAAGTATTTGTAAGAATGTCTGAGTTGAACCATCATATGAGAACGTACACCATACACTCTCTTGATATAATTTTTAACAATCTTTTCTTTATTTCTTTTGATCTTGAAAGAACCCTTTAAGATTTTGGTTCTGGAACATAATGTAGGTAGTGTAAAATGGTCCGAGGATGGTGCAGTGGCAAGGAGCAAACATGCACCTCTGATAAAGTGCAAGACGACAGTGAGCAGGGAGATATATTTGGTCGACTGCACATTAAATATGGTTGATTGTATTTGCTTAACTAAGAAAATCATCTAATATTAGATAATCAGAATTATTCATCAACATTGAAGTTATATAATATCTGTAAAAAAGGAATCACATGCATTAAGTTTTCTCATTTTCTTACTCATGAATGCTCAAGTAATGCATGATCTTCTCAGCAATGCACTTGGTGAGCCTGAAATTTACGGTTCTTGAATAGAATATTCTGTTACCTCTTGACAGTAGACCTGCTGAAATGTTTATCTGAATAACGCAGAACAAATATCACTGGGCACTTGACAGAATATAGCATTAGGTTTAGGATTCTACCAGGAAATGGGACGGAAACAATCGGATTATACCTTATTTGAAAAGAATGAACCGGTGTGTTACTACAATTTTAAATGCTCTTGTTTAGCATATTTGGATCCTGTTGACTTTGCTGCCAGAAGAAGTAATAGAAATCCATCTGCGGTCAGCCGTTAGCAAAGAATTCAATGCTCAGGGGGTGTCAGGTTGGTGCTTCCCATATAAATCCACGCCATATCTTGACGAGGATTTAACAACTCTGTATTCTTACTGTCTTGTAAACATCGGTATCTGGCCTGATCTGGATTGAACTTCTCCCACGGCAACTCGTAATTAGATGATGAATGGTATCAGTGAAATCTAGGACCATAATTGGCTTAATTCTTTTCGTATCAATGGTCATTAATTACTGATAAGAAGTGACATTTTGGATTGTAGACCATAATTTATTACTGATAATGTGGTGCCAAATCAACGGTTTGGATATGTAAATGTGTGGTGGTGATGGTATAAGATTAGATTTTATGAATCCGGCCAGTTGCGTTAGGTAGAAACATGAAAAGAGCCTAATTCGTCCAGGCCTATGCAGTATATATAGCCTATAGACTGGAACAAAAATACTCACCCATCCTCCAAATTCTGTTCTTGCTTTCTTAGCCACCATGACTAGAAAGAAGGTTAAGCTTGCATACATCACTAATGATTCTGCAAGAAAAGCAACCTTCAAGAAAAGGAAGAAGGGTCTAATGAAGAAGGTAAGTGAGCTAAGCACCCTTTGTGGGATTGAAGCTTGCGCGATAATTTGTAGCCCGTATGACACTCAACCTGAGGTTTGGCCCTCTCCTCTGGGGGTCCAGCGTGTGCTAAGCCAGTTCCAGAAATTGCCTGAGATGGAACAATGCAAGAAGATGGTTAATCAGGAAAGTTTCCTTAGGCAAAGAATCACAAAAGCCAATGAGCATCTCAAGAAACAGCGAAAGGACAACCGTGAGAAGGAAGTGACACATGCCATGTTCCAGTGCTTGACTGGGAAGAGCTTGCAAAACCTGAACCTGATGGATTTGAATGATCTGGGATGGATGGTTGACCGAAACTTGAAGGAAATTAACAAGAGGTCTGACTCACTTAAGAATGTGACTATTTCCCAAATGGCAGCAGGACCTAGTGGAGAGCATCCCTCACAGAGGGCAGAAGTGCCGGCTTTTGAGGAGAACAATGATAACATGCACAGGCAGCAGTGGTTCATGGATTTGCTGACTCCACAAGAGCCTCTGGGATTTGGGGGGCCGGATGAGATGATGTTGCCATTCGTGGATAACAACCAAAATCCTCCTTGGTCTAACACCTTTTTCCCTTGAGGGTTGGCTTATTTACGAATCATGGTGTTTTAGCTGGCTGGAGTTGGAGCACAGTATAGCTGTAACACTCCTAGAATCCATTTCGGTATTTTAGCTTGCTGCTGGAGTAGGAACACATATTTCTATACCCCTCCTAGAATCCACTGTACCTAAATAAGTCCTCCTCGGTTAAGCTATATCATGTTCAAGATATTTCGCTTAGTTTGCATTCTCTGATTTTCAAATATTTCATTTTGATGTATCTGATGTCGACGGGCATCACTGTCTGTTGTTTAATAAAAGTGAATGAGATCTTTGCCAGTTGCTTCATTTAAATTCTTCAGTTATTACAGTCATGGTGTCTCTTGTTTGGTCCCGACGCATAATCTTGCAATTTCTCAACAAGATAACACGATTTATGTGTGGACTTCTCCGAGGACATTTTCCACATCAGATTGAAACCACTGCCTTGCTTGATGCTTATGGAAATTTAGTATTATAGCGGTTTCTTTTTTCTTGTTTCACTCCATAACACATATCGTTAAACTGCTTCATTTCCAGATAAATTCTGGCACTTCTTTTTATTTTTTAACTGTAGATGGAGATTGGAAGAATAATGTTCGAATCACAGTGTCATCTCCAAGAGAAGGTCTAAATGTCATTGATAGAATTGCTTAAATACTACAATCAAGCATAAATGTCTTTGGTGGTCCTGGAGCAAGTGTGCATGTTCTGACTATAGACCAAAAGGATATTGCTGGGTTAACTGGGGCTGATATAAACTGGAAATGCGCTGATCTGCTTGTTGAATAACATATATCACCTTGCATTAACTGGATGCTTAGCTAATGATCATGGATGATTTCTTATAGACGACGACGATGATTTTAGCCAAGTTTTTGTGTCGAGTCGTTAGCCATTCTGGAGAAGGCTTCCGAATATTTGTTTCTTTCTGCACTACAAAATCGAAGTCTGGTATCTTAATATGTTCGCTAGGTGCATTGGCTTGTTGCAGATCCCTCCTTCTAGGCATTCTGCTATGAGTTGAGGCCCTTCATTACTTCAAATAACACGGAGCTTGTTACTAGCTTGGATGGACAAAACTTTTTATCTCAACCTTAGCTGTCAAATTATTTATCAGATCATTTCTTTGTGGAACTGTTCGTCTGTGCTACAAAGTGGGTCTAAATTTACAATCCAAATTCAAACCAATGTTCGAAGCCATAGAAGTTAAGAGATGGACAAGAGCTCAGTATTAAAGTCTGAAAGATATCCTGAAGATTCCAAGCCTCGAGAGGCCGAAACAACTTAACAAGAAAGTGGGTCAGGTCTGGTCCGGAAGATAGTAGTTAGCAGAGTCCTTCAACGAGTAAAGACATTGTAAATCTAATAGATGCTGGATTATCTTTCCTTGAAAATAGAGATTGTGATAATCATTGCCCTCTATTAAGAAGGTTTATTCCCTTTCTTGATTTTCTAAATTCAAATCTTGGTATCGACATCTAGAAAAAAACATTAAATTTTCTAAATAGTGTCTTTCAAATAGTATGGAGAGAGAGCCAAATTAATATAAAGATACTGTAATACAGGAGATTTATTAGAAATCTTTTTTTTTTATTATAGCGCTTTTCTAGTATTTTTTTAAAGAATATTTTACGTAGTTTATTATTTTATATCTGATATTATTAAGGTTTCCTAGTTTTGTTTATACAAAGGTTTATAGCAGTTTTTTTTGGTAAGGGAAGACTTTGAAAAATAAATATTAAATTATTTGGTTATATCCCTATACTTACAGTATTTTTTATCGGAGAGGGTTTTAACAGTAAAAAATTTATTTATTATTTATTTTCACCTATGTTAACTGATATTAGATCCCAACAATCTTTAATAGTTATTTTATTTTGTTATGTATTACATAATAACAATGATTAAAAAATATCCAACGATCTTCGGTGGTTGTTAAAAAAAATATTTTATTTTATTTTATTTTATTTTATTTTATTATTTTTTATTATAATGTTTTTCTAGTTTTTTTATTTAAAGAAAATATTTTTCATAGTTTTTTTATTAAGTATTATTAGGGTTTTCTAGTTTTCTTTTTTATATATAAAAAGTTATAATAGTTTTTTGACAAAAAGATACATATTATTATTACTATTATTTATATATGTCCTCAAGTATAAAATACTTTTTATTATCTTATTAAACTAGCTGCAATCACATGATAAATATCATTTTTTAAGATGGTATGGTTTGCATGACTTTGTGAACATGATATGACATTAGTTAAAATCTCATTATAAAAAAAAATGAATGACGATCAAATTCTATAAATATATAATTATTTTGAGAATTTATATTTAAATAGTTATGTAATATCATTAATATAATTGCAATTTAAATTTGTGTTTTGTAAGGATAAGCAAACATGTTTTGTAAAATTATTCATCTCTTTTTTCACACATCAAAAGTAGTTTCATCATATTGTGTATTGATGAGTGTGTATTTTTAAATACTTCTTCATGACTTTTTAGTTATCTTCCACATAAAAATTCTAATAATTAATATCTTTTATCTTTACATGGATCTAAAAATCCATATTTATTTTGATTTTCAGCATCTAAAAATACTATTTTTTTACTATAACTAGTAATGAATTTGCAAGTTATTACATAAAGAAAGATTATCCATAAAAATAATAAAAATAACCACTTTAGTTTTCTCATTCAATTATTTTTAAATTATTTTAAAAGTTTTATATGGGGATTATCAATTGCTTCTAAAAAAATAAGTGTTTCGTGTTTATATTTGCAAAAAATCCTTTAAATAACAAAATTGACTAATTATGTGAGACTTGTATAATGAAAGCATGCTTAGATTTTCTTAAGTTTGATGACAAAAGTATTATTTTTTTAAGTTAAATAAGGAAAATATAACTTTAAATTTAAAAAAAGTTTTTTTCTCAAATTGCAAAGAAAAAATACATTAAATAAAATAAAAACAACATGCTAGGAGCTTAGGCCTAGTAGCCAAAGCCAGACTTGGTTAAAAGTTATTGGTCTTAACCAAAAAACAAAATTAGACACAGTGCCTAGGTCTTAACCAAAAAACAAAATTAGACACATGGCCCAATAAGTCCAAACCCGAATGCTTTAATAAGCTTTGACTTATTTATAAAAAAAAAACCACAAATGATATTATCTACTATAGTAGATTTTAGCTATTATAGTATATTTTAGCAACTAAAGGGTCATTAAAATATCTAGCAGGTGATGTTTTAAAATAACTTAAAAATCTAGGTTAATTCATATATTTTCTCAAATAACTCAAGATTCGATCAAAAAAACATAAAAAAAACTAATATAACTTTTTTTATATAATTGATCTATTTTTTTAGGTAATTTTAAGATAAAAAAATAATAAAACTTATCTCATTTATTAAAACTTGTTGACACAAAAATTTACTATTTTGATGGTCAAGATTGATGTCAGCTGAGATTTTATATCTTTATAATTAAAAATTTAACTATTTTTTTTATTTTAAATTATAAATAAAAAAAATTAGATTAAAATTGAATTTAAAAAAATCATAAAAGCCAAAAATTGATCAATAGAAAAGTAAGAAAATCAAAGTTAATTTTTTCATGTGAATTTTGTGAAAGCTACTTCGTTTCTCAGTTTTTTTGTTCTCACTTGGCTTCCCTAACTTGCAATCCCGCCCATCATCAACAAGTTAAAAGTTATTGGTCTTCAACTTGGACATAAAAAGATCAAATTCTAAAAAAAAAAAAATTGTTACCAAAATGAAAAAAAAAAATCACCATGTGAATTCAGTGAAATGTTAGAGGCTACACTTCATTCATGTAGAGTATGAATCCCAGTCCTCCATTCTTCTATTTCATGGGCTGAAGCCTCTGAGCCAGTTTTCCTATTAATGAAATGAAATATTTTCATTATGTTAAAAAAATTAACCAAATCCGCCAAAGATATTATTTGCAATAGATCACATAATATTTTGTTAATGAGGATCACACAATATCCTTAAGGATATACACAATTAATATTGTAATTATAAAAAATTAATAATGCAATCTCCAAATTAAGAATTTTACAATATACTTTCACCATGATGCCATTTCAGTTTTCTCATGAAAATGTACCGAAGAAAATATCCTCTAACAAGGCTCTGTTTTTTTTTTTTTACTCAACGGGACAGTGAAAACACTCATGAGAATATTAAAATCTTGCAAATGTAATCTTGAAAAGAAATCTTTTAATATAAAAGCCAATTATGTTTCTGTAGAAATTAAAATTAATTTGCCCATGTATATAAACTCAGTATATGCACCACATTTTTTAACTGAAGTCTGATTTCCTAGAAACCTGGTCTGGTAATAGAAAAATAATGGGGTCTAAGTTGTCTATGAACTGATCACATCCTCCAAATTTGGAACAGGCTGTTGTTCATGGCATTTCAGAAAGTGATCATTCCTCGGATCATTCCTTTGGCAAGGTAAGATTTTAAGACATCAAACACTTTTACATCTTTATTTTGTCAGAATGGATAGATTTGCTTGCCATGTTGATGCTTTAAAATTAATACGTTGGTTCAACTACTCTTAACAATGATGTTTTTCCTTTTTCTTTTTCTTTTTCTTTTTTTGTAATTGTTACCTAGCTTGGAAATCAACTCATAAGTTTTGAGGTTAATAGGTCAATTAAAGTTATGATTTTAAAAAAAAAAAATTAATATTATTTTGATAAAAATTTAAAAAAAATTAATATTATTTTGATAAAAAAAAAAAAAAGAGATTGGTAAAAGCTAAAACATGAACATAGAAAACATATTTATTGAGATTGGTAAAAGGTAAAACATGAACATAGAAAACATATTTATTAAGAGGGACAATCACGAATCTTAAACGGGATTGGTCTCACTTTTTAAAAAGATAAAAATTTATCAAGATAATATTAAAAAAAAAGAAGTAAAACATGATCCAAGCCAAGTTCTAAATCGGTTACCAAAGTTTTTTTTTTTTTTGACATGTCCTATATTTTCAGCAACAATCATCCTTTGACCTGCAAGCCAGTCGCGAGCTTTTGTTTTAATTTTCTTGCCTTCCATTCTATGGATATTGCAAGTTCTTGATCACAAATACATGACACCAACCAGTTTGCTTTCGTTAATTTATCCTAATCCATCCAAATACAACGTTAAAAAAAAAAAACA